CTTGTATTTTTGTTATATTACATTCTATTATAGTAATGACTAAATTGTCGCAATTTATAGCTATGTAAGGCACATATTAATGTTTGCTGTTTTTCTTATAACCCGTAAGTGCGCACGCGTAGTGGGGAACAGGATATTTCATATCAACAGAACGAAATCGAGCACAATCCATAAGTAGAACACTGCAATTCCTTAAACAATAAAAGTAAATTTTGGACCACGTATCAACAGCAAAATGTTTTAACATAACGCTTAGAAATATTTTAATTAATTTGATATATTATCTATTTTATAAAGAAGAGATAATAGAATAATATTACAATACAACTAACAGGCCAAAATAATGTAATTTAATTATTCGTGTTGGTATCAAAAATTAAACCGTGTATCGATTTACGTATGTGAATTTACTGTTTCGACAAATATAGGGCTGTGTTTTAAGGCGGACATACAATCGGCCCGCAGTCACTAAGTTTGGAAAAAGTATACAAAATTTCACCCAAAATTATTATTAGGCTATAAAGAACCAGCTATAACTGATAATTGGCATATCTTATTTGATTGCAGTTTCATCGATTCTGGCTATATCAAATAAACCACACACATAAAGTATGAATGTCATATTAAGCGTTTCGGTGGCTACTACTGCGGTTAGACCACACACAACGATAATACAGATTTGGATTAAAATTGGAAAATAATATTTCTGCTGATCTATAAAACATTCTATTAGAGCTGGAAATTGTCGTAGACGCGATTTAATTTTACTGGATGTGATATCCAGAAGAATGTTAAATGGAAACTGTACAATAATAAAGGGAAAACTAGATACATAGAAGAACACTGTAATTAAACAATTAAAATTTGGATAGAAGTAACTGAATCTAAAGCGTAGAAAAGTGATTCAAGATATTGCTGTTGTAATTAATTAATGAATCTTGCGATAGCTGCATACTCTTTTATTATTTCACCTTCTTGCATAACGTTTAATTGATTTCAGTCATGTTGCATTCGTTCTATAAGGTATCGAATCTGTGTTTATAATATTATGATTATTTATTAAATTTTTTTAAGTTTTAAATAAAATTAGTAATTACTATTTATATCTCTTATACGTTTCTTCACAAGTATCTGGATTTGATATCGAATTTCTTTACACGTCTTATGTTTAAGCAGAAAACATTATATTTGAACATACGAGTATAGCTTACCATTAGTCATGGGATGCTATACGTGTGGACACGTAGAAGCATATCTGGATTATATTTTGTTGTGATGAAAATCGTTAGCAAAAAGTGATATTTTTCACTGAAATCGTGTATACTTTTCGGTTAACATTAATTTTTTCAGTTAGAATAGTTTTAAAGAAGTTATTTAAATATGTATTGTACAAAGGAGAAATTTTGTTTAAATATTATTAAATCTATGATAATTTTATCTTCTTTATTATAATCTTATATTTATAACTAAAGAAAATATTTCCTTTTTAGTGAGAGCAATTGTAATTAAGTTTTTAGTAAATTTGTCATTATTTATTACATTATTTCTTGTTATACTATAATTTAACATTTGGAACAGAAAGAAATATTTATCTTTTAATGAGAATAACTACAGTATATTAATGTCTGATAAGAGTTTGAATTTTCGCGGAGATTTTTGTTCGTTGCCATGCGATATATGCGTCGCGGTTTTCTTTTGTCTCGGTCGTTCGTATTCGTTCCGTCTGTAGTAAAGGCTAGTTAGTCTCGATATGCCCCACAGTAAAGGCAGCGATTCACATTTTCGTCTTTATATTTTGTTCACCTTCTGTATAACAAGCCAATAGTATACTATCTGAATAAAGGCTTACTTTGTCACTTGCAAATGGAATAATCAGCTCTCGTTATTTGTTATGCATTGCATTCCCACAACAATGTCTTATACTAATAAAATAAAATTATTCTTATTAAATTATAAAAATAAATAAGACAAAATTTTGTTAACTTTTATCATAAATAGTACACAAAGAATGTGAAATAGAAAAAGATATTATCATACCTGAAATACTACGCCTGATGCAATCATTGTAAATATTATTATGATACGCCTGAAACTGCACTTTTGGTATGGTTACAAGGCAATGCATAGTAATAAAATTCGATAGATTATATAGTATTGGTTTACCGGGCAATTTTGCCATTCCTGTAAATGTTAAAACGCATTTGTGTCGAATTTCTTTCCACGAATTACCACTTAGGTTTGTCACGTTTGATTGTAAATTATAATTCACTCTTTCTGCGCATTCAAAATAATACGCTGATCTCTTGTAAAATTACAATAGCTTACTGGAGTCATGTAAATTATAGCTTTGGCATATATTTGGCCAGGGTCTGTATCTATAATCCTTTGGTGAACATTATTATTTGCAGGATTAACCCATTTTTTTTTCTTTACGTATGTGGGTGATATTTCTCTTTTACGTTTGATCGGCGCACGCGCAATTGCAAAGTCGTCTTCACACGTTTCCGACGTCTCTCCACTTCTATTCGAAACGAGAACGTTACAGTACTTTCTTTGCAACGTGCGTACTGAAATGTGTGCTGACGTCATTCAAGATTAACTAGAAAAACTATTGCACGATTGTTATAATTTAAACCGTGAATTGTGTACCATGCTTGGCGAGTACTGCAAAGACTTATGGTAGGTTAAAACGCTAAATTAGTGAGCTGTTATAAGTAACTGCATATATTGCATTATAACATAAATACACTTGAAACTCACTCAATGCAATGAAACATTTCCATTTAGTACTATTTCTGTTCAATTAAAATCCATTAAATTAATTTTTTTAAATTTAATTGTCAAAAAGTAAATATATTTTCTAAATATATAAAAATTGGTGATACTAATATTGTCACAAAGTAATAAATTATTTTTATTAACAGAATTGGGTTGATAATTTTAGTGCAAAAAGTATACGATATAAAAATTATAACATAAAAACACTTAAAACTCACGCTATGGAATGAAAAATTTCCATTTAGTACTTTTTCTGTTCAATCAAAATCCATTAAATTAATTTTTTCAATTTAATTGTCAAAAAGTAAATATATTTTCTAAATATATAAAAAATGGCGATACTGATATTGTCACAAAGTAATAAATCATTTTTATTAACAGAATTGGGTTTACAATTTTAGTGCAAAGTGTACGATATAAAAAAGCGATTACGTTTTCTTTTTTTACAAAGGCAGCTTTGTTGTTGTTAATGTTGAACTTTATTAATGGTGTATTAATAATTGTTATTATATTTTTACATTAAGCAAGAATTCACGAAACAAATGGCAATACATTCCGTAAATCTTCCTTTTTATTGGTACAATAAACAATAATAAATATATAACCTTATAAAATGTTCTCGTAGTATTATATTAGCATACATTTGCGATAGGTATACCAGAATTACTTTATTGTGACAACCTATATATTCGACTAACAATAACGATAAATTTTATTGTATGAAGATACTCACTGGGTGGAATACATTACCATAAAATACGACAGTGACATGCTTATAAGCTAAAATGATAATTGTATTCTTGGTAATTTAAAACACGAAAATGTTCGATAAAAGATTATTATTGATGCCGAGAATTTACCGTGGCAAATCCTTCTAATGACGGAATGAATAAGCCGCCGATCATTACTGTGCAATGTTGGATGCTTCTTTGCATTATAATCAGCAATAACTTTTGCACTTTCAACGGAACCATGTACCATTGTACGTTGTATCTATACGATATACCATTACAAAATAATGTAAGTGAAAGTTTTAATATACATATACAGGGTGTTCCGCATAAGGTGCCTATCCGCTCGTGTATACACTGTAAAACAAGTATGTAAAATTACATACATAATAAATGTAGCAAATACACTATTAATAACGGAAATATTTAAATTTATGTATTTTTACAAAAAAAATTTACTCCTTGTTGTGCAAATGCTTGTTTACACTTGGTGAAAAGTTATAACAAATTGTAAAATTTACACAATTAAAATCAAGCTTTCTTGTGTACATCGACTGCAGTTTACTTATTATATAGGGTAATAATTTTACCTACAAGGTGTAAATTTACTGACGTATGTAGATATACACCTTAAATAGATGGTCCCAATATTACTCACTATAATAAGTGTAATTTTACATGTAATTTTTTTACAGTGTAGGTCTCGTTAAACTGAACTGAAAAGTTCTATATCAGTGTGTAAACGACCATGTAAAATTTTGTGTTATTAATTAATAAAGATGTACGAATGAACGTGACTGCAATTCGGCTACATGAGCCAAATGCTAAGCACCTAATGTACCAGACAGCCTATATAAAATATATGACTAACAATAATTAACTCACGTTTTACGAAAGATATTGCTGCTATGATCGATCACCTCCTGTCCTAAATAATTGCAGAAGAACAGATACCAAAAATGACCAATAATGAACAGACTAGTTGATATTGTATCCTGATATTCATTGGTAGTTATCAGTCGAGAGAGCTACGATTACATAGATAATCAGTTTGCTTTGTGAAGAATGCAGAGCTTGTATCTACGAATACGATAGTATACGCAGGTGTCAAAGTCATAATATCTAACTAATTGTAAGATATGTTAATTTGCTCAGCGTTATCATTAAAACCATTAATATCAATGAAAATATATCAGTAATTACTTACGCGATATAGATTGAGGCTGAGTGATAGCACGGACAATGGTAATGCCATGAAATAAACCCATCTAAAATTCGCTTTTGACATTTCGATAAACCTTGAATAATAATGTGCGTAGAATGAATAGGTAGAAATAATTATTGTCGTACGCGTACTTATTGACGCAATTACATGCACAAAATTTAAAATTTTATATTTTACATCGATGCAAATTTATTAGAGAAATAAACAATTGAAGAGAAATCATGCTAGAGAATAAAAGGAAGTTTCTTTGTTAAATTACGGACTCGAGTGCTTTCCTGTGTACATCGACTGCACTAACTATTTCCTGACACATTATTGAGTTTTTTTCAGCAATAGATACTATATCTCGTGCCATACCTTTGTGCAATGCTTGCTCTATGCGACAGCTAAAAAATAATATAATTTATAAATGTTGCAAAAATTAGTCTCTTCTTAAAACGCTGTATTTACTTGGCTACTTCGAATAATCCACACGCGTGTTGAGCATATGACATAAAAAGTGTCTCAATGGCTATTAGTGTGGTCATACCACATATTACAATAATGAACACATATGACAAAAGCGGAATGAAATACTTTTGCTGATCTAGAAAAAACTCGACCTCAGCTGGAAGCTGCCACAAACGAGTTTCGTTTGCAGTCGTTTTGAAGTCCAGAACAAAATTTGCCAGAAGTTGTATCAAGATAAAGCCAAATATACTTGGATAGATGGACGCTGTAACAGTTAACAAGATTTTAATTCGTTACCGAATCTTGGAAAGTACGTTGGAAAATTATTCGAAATGTAGCTTACATATCGCAACTAATGTGATAAATTTTCCGAGAGCGGAATATTTTTTTATTATTTCAAGTTCACGCGCGTTGTTTAATTCATTCCAGTCGAAACGCACTCGTTGTATAAGACCTCGCATCTAAATTCATAAGATAATAATTTTTTTCTCAAAGGTTTCTTAAATAGGATTAATATCGAACATATACCTCCTCCATTTTGAAGCAAAGAAGAAATCTCAACAAATAAGTCAGGAATGGTATACTATACGCGAGGATCTTCAGAAGAAGATCTAAACTGTATTCTTTCGTGACGAAGGTTGTGAACTGAAAGTGATACTTTCTTTCAGCTATTTCCACATTTAATTCATTTTATTAATATTAATGACTTTTTGGCTAGAATAATTTTGTAGTGGTTTCGAGAAGAAGTTGTTTCAATATACATACATACACAAATGTGATAATTCTAATTAGCATTCAACATCACTGAATCCATCAGAACTTTATGCTATTGTAATTTTCTCACAGAGAATTTATTAAAATTAATGCCATTTATTAAAACTAATTTTGCGCTCAATTTTCGTGCATCACAGTTTTATTAATTTTATTATCAAACAATATTGAAGACACTTGGTTACAAATATAAGATTTACAGAGATTCATACCTGCAATACTACGCTGGATAAAAGCATTAGAGTCATTAGTGTTACTAGAATACACCTGAAATCAAATCTTTGATATGGCCATAGGCCAATACATTGTAATAGAATCCGATTAATAGCGTAATAACTATCCGCCGCGTGAGCCATTTCGGTGCAAGTGTTGCGATGTGTTTGTGCTCAAAGTCTCTTTAGAAATATCATTCCTTTATCTTCACTTGTAAACCTGTTCTTTTATAATTTCACATTTCCCACCTTTGTGTACTTGCAAATATCGTACAAATATTACACTAATGTCGAAATTACGATATTAGACTATTGAAATTACAAAATTGTAACTAACTTAAATTACAGTGTTAGGTTTTCCAAATTACATTACTGGCGATATTAAATCTATTTGTGAGTTACAGCGTTAGCTTATTTCTGACTAAAGCGTCTAAATATTTGAAATGCACATGTTATTACTGCAAAGTGTTTCTTTTTCTATTATCGTTACCCCTTATATTCGATCGACGCAAGCGCAATTGTAACGTCGTTTTCGCGTATTTTCATTGCCTCTTCAGTTCGATTCGAGACGTGACACGTTGCGGTACTGTTTTTTAGACATATATACAATACTATTGAAGGCTGCTATGCGATTATAATCATCAGAGTTTTGTAAGGTGTGTATCGGAATATCGGGTATTAGGTGACAAATGTCTTGACCATTGATTTAATATGTCTACGGTATGAAATTATGAATCAATAAATTATACTGTTAGAATTGAAACATACTTTTCATGTGTCTGAACTCTGATCTAGGTGATATTCTAACGTTTCAATTCATAGAACACAGATTTTATTATTTTTTGGCTTTCAAGCTTTCGCGGCTATTTATTATTTATTATTTGCATTATTGTGTTTAATTCCAACAAAAATGGTACTTTTTACGCAAACTGATTATAACATTTATCTTTTTCTAAAAATATTTCATCATTAATATTAGACCAACCAGGTAATCCTTACTTTAATAAAAATGTGATCAATTTATTTAATTATCTCTTTTTATGCTCTGAAAAGCGACACAATTCGAAAGCAATTTTCTTCTCTTTTGTTTGTTATACGAAAACATCAGAAAACTTTTTGTCGCATTTTCCGTGTGACATTTTTAATGATGTTAGTTGATGAAATAAATGGCAACGTGGAAACTGCATTCACCCAGTAAAATAAAAAAGGAAGGTAAATGCTGGCACATTTATTGTGAATGTAAAATTGCTGCTTGTAGAAATTTTCTTCTTCCGTACTTTATTTTCAGTATCTCATTTTTCGTGTAATATACATGTGTATATCCATGTTCAGTATATTCTCTTATATACGCACGGATGAGTCAAGACTTACCATTGTTTTCAACCTGAATAAACTATCATAAATTTATCTTAAATATCACGTCTTTGAATTCTAGAAGGTAGAAACAGGAGAACAGTTTTACAATTAAAACTATTAAATTAATATTTATATATTATATATTCTGGCATGCAATATGTGTGGTATGCTACAATTAATCTTAAGACACTGGTTCGATCATTGTTGCAGTGAATAATAATTTGTCGTTGTATGTGGTTTCATATTTTGATAATCTACCAGCACAAAGTGATTTTGAATGAAATTTTTGTCTGCGGTATTTATGGGAATTCTGTTTTTCAATATTGTAACGACAAAAAAACTGTGAAATAAGACAAAGAGCAGCTCACGACCTAAAATATAAATTATATTATATTCAAATTAATCGCATTAATAAAATTATCATATTCTTTTTATTATCCCTTTCAGTGCTATGAACGTGCGAAGACGTCCAGCAAATGGCACACTGTAAGTGTTATTTATGCGTGTAGTTTTAACAATATACAAAAGTATTCAGCGGATGCGCGCCATAGAGAATAAAATATTCCAAGATTCATTGTTCAAAAGTATTCAGTACTGAAAGGATTAATATAATATCGCAAATAATCGGTTCTTCATTTTTTTACTTTTTCTTATTATAATTTAACAAAAATAAAATTCGGACCATATTGTGCGTAAATTGCAAAGAGATACAGTTTAAAATTAATGGAATATATTTTTATATTTAAACTCTGATATTATGCCATTATATCGTACATAATAAAATTGGAGTATTATGCTTACCGTAGCAAAAAATTCAAGTGATGCGACGAATACGGTATGCAAAGTAAATTTACAACTTTTTACACTTCTTTGTATTATAAATTGTAGCAGTTTTTGTAGTGGAATAGGGACTGAATACCAAGGCAACTCGCATCTAATAATAATAATAATAAAATTTTGACGATTTTATTTTCAAACCAAATTTAATTCATCGTTTAATGCGAAATTTATAATTATTAAATATTTAACTTAATACAAACAAAATTAATAACTGTAAGTTTAATATTTGATAAGTATGCAATGAAATTATCGTACAATTATCTTAAATTTTCAGAGGTACTTAATCCACGAATATTTCATCTTAAAATTTGCAGAGGCACTTAATCCATGTACATTTCTTATTATAAAAATCATTCTCAATACCAGTATCACAAATTCGTCATTGCAAAATGCCATGACGTCAAAAATAAAAAATAAAAACAATTGTTCACTGAGAAAGAAAAAAATCATTCATTTAGAATGGTACTTACGTTTTGTAAAATATGTCAGCACTATGATTTGTTGCCACCTGCGCCAATAAATTATTCAAGAATATGTAAATAAAATGTATGGCGACAAGTACTCCAACCACAAATTGCTCTTCAAACTCTTTCTTGAATCCTGCTTGAACAAGCTAATATGCACAAAAAATGCTTTATATCACGAAATTTCAATTTTCTGCATTATATCCAACAATGCATCTTACAGCAAAAATACTTTTGATGAAAAAATTCAAATATTTGCGATAAAAAATGTAACTTTTTTAGTATGCGACAAATTGTGATTTTATCACCTTGTCATAATGCGATGCAATAATAATGTGCTATTCAGCTATGTAGTGAGGCGTAATAATAATACTTACGCGAAACAAGTTGATACTTAAAGAAGACGTGCCAAATACAAGCAAGAGAAAGTACGACGTTTCGAAGCAGGAATTAAAACAATAAAAAAACCTTTAATAATATTTGTACATTAATGAAATTCTTATAAAATATGTTTATAATCATATGTGTATCGTTCATTCTAATTGTTTCATTAGAATTGATTCTGCAATTCCCGGTTTTCCTACTCCGATTTTTTGTACAGTATATTATTAAAATGTCAGTAACATATTCGGGCTGTGCATAATGGCGGCGAGTAACTAAATATCACACTTTAATTTACATTGAAAGGCCTGTAAGGTAAGTTTTTCTACGTGGTAACATATTGAATGAGGTTAATATTTACGCATATAAATTATTTTCTTGATGAATATTCACAGTATACTAAAGGCCTTTCGACTAAAAGTGTGATATTTAGCTACAGCTGGCGCTACGCGCAGCGCTGGGTGTCACCGGCCACCACTGTGCACGGTCCAAATAGCATATTGCTACGTACTCCAGAGCTCTATTGTGAATGATTATTGCGTTGATTATATTTGTGTAATATATTTGATGTTTCTTCGAAATAGATATTTGCATTTTGCAATCAAACGCATGTTTTAAACGTAAGCTACAACAATAAAGTAGACATAGTAATAATTATATGTATGTAAATGCAATGAGATGTTGCGAAAAATTAACGTAAAATTAAAGTGTAAGTTTGTTTCTAGAGTTTCACTTTAATTTTACGTTAATCCAGTATGTTAAAAAAAACTCAATTTTTTAACATACACTTACTGAATCAATTTCTTTGTTTCAATCATTACCTGGTAATTCTGAATAATCCATTCATATGTTGTAGGTATACTAAACCCATAGTTTCTGTAGCCGCTATCGTAGTTGCTTCTACAGAAAGTGCTACCGCCATATGTACGAATATTAGAACAAAGTGTTCGTCTTGATCGAACAAAAGCGTGGCTAAACCCAAAAGTTTAAGCGGACGTGATTCGTTCAAGGGTATCACTGCATCAAGGAGTTTGGGTAATAGTTGTACAAATAAAAACAGACATACACTGAAAATGAGCCCTACTGAAAAAATTGATTAAATTGAAGAAGAAAGAAACTCATTACTTACTTATTGTTATAGTAATGTATCTATATTTTTTCTTTTAATTAAAGCTTTTAATGAAAAATGTAAAGTTTAGACGAAAAATGTAAATCTTAATATTCGTGTAACTATCGGCTTGATAAAAAGACTTTTTTACCTACTACTACAAAGGTCATCCATTTTCCGATGGTGTAATATCTCTTTAAAATTTTTAACTCCTCTTTGCACTGTATTAACTCCCAATGATATTTTGTTAGTTCTGTTAGCTGTTTTATCTATTTTTAATAATAATATATTAATTTTTTAATATATAATATCATTATTGTACACACAAGTTTTAGATATTTTAATTTCTTAAACAAAATAAGAAGAATAAGTATAGAAATATTTAAATAGTTGTACAAAGAATAATAAAAGTTGTAAATATCTTTCATGTAGAATATTTGAAATATTGTGTTGAAAGTCAATATAAAATCAATATAAAAAATGAGCCATATTTACAATATTTATGACAAATAACAATGTAACAAACTTACATCTTGAGCTTTTATACAGAATGTAGTATATTTTAAAGTGACAACTAGACAAGGTACAACAAATGATAACACTTGAAGCAAATTCTGTAAATTAGATGCGTTTGACATAATCCTTCCTATCTGCAATAATAGATTTTATCAACGAGAAAATCGTAATTATTTATAATTCTATTGTATATGTATGTAAGTATGTATTTTATGTTATATTTTACAAAAATATGCAATCTAAAATTAAAGAATGCTTAAGTATTTTAAAAAATCGTAGTTTATACAATTTTGTTCGAATGTCAGTCATTCCAAGAGATTGTCCATTTACACAAATGCAAAATTTTGTAAATTATTTAATAAAAGCTTTCATATTCAAATTATTCAAATATTTATATTGTTAAAATAAAAATAAAAACGAGATAAGAATACCTGCAGAAATATAGAAAATGAAATCAGTAGACCGAAAAATATTCTTTGAACCTTTCTGAACGATGTATTGTTATACGGCCATAGACCAAGTATGATTAACAGAGTTTGTTGGATTCTATAGTAACGTACGCTGATAGATTCCATCTTTTCTAGGAAAAGGCTGAAGCACGATTGCGCCGAAAGACGCAGAGAAAAATTGCAATTCTACTTACACATTCTGTTCATATTTTATTAAAGATTCTCGCTTCCTGCTATCAAATTATTGTCGCATTTCTATTTTATGCGATTATGCGAAATTACGATAATAATAGATAACAAATAGCAATAGGCAAGTTTATGTACCGCACTAGTGAAAAAAAAAGGTCGATAATGAGCCGATCGATACATTCCACTTTTCAGACGGTACTTCTGTAATTATCGTAATACCGTAATAGCGGCAAGGTAAAACTTGTTCCGCAAAAGTGTATAAATAAGTTGATAATATTGAAAGGGGAAAATTTTCTTTCTTTAGAAGTTGGCGCAGGCGCTTTCATCATTTTGCTAACGAACGTTCTTCAGTTCCGTTCGAGTGGTCGTAGACGTTACTTTAATCCTGCTGAACAGTTGAACGAATAGTGACCTTCTGCGTAACAAACGCAGATAATTCTCCATTCGAACCAAGTTGAATAGAAGAGTGACTGAGTACCGGGAGCAAGGTTATTGTCATTAATGTAATTTCAATAGGATTTTATCGAAGGATACATTGTTCAAATTCACCTTTCGCCTACTTTTTTTATAGATTACAAATTGTTAAATAATCAAACTTTTAACCTGATGATATACGTGTGTACATATACTTTTTTATTTATATAAAAGGAGAAAATTAATTTAACATTTTTACGTTTTTCTTTATTACAAAAATAAGTGAGCTATTTTAATTAAGCGTGTTTATTGTATAGGTGTTAGGAAAAATGTAACATAATGATTGACGTCATATTCGTTAAATAGTTTGAAATTAACACCACAGAATAAAAGAAAATTTTATTTGTGAAATAAATAATGCACACTATACATTGACTAGTAGCATTGTATAATTGAGAAAAAAAATAACAGTAAGCAACCTTCATAATTTTAAATGCAATTTCGAATTTTGATGATGTTATGTACGTGAAAAAAAAGTGGGATACTCGAATAATAAGACTAAAGAAAGAAAGGAAACTTCTTTCGATAACAACCATACAGTGTTCAGTTATAAACTAAATTTGTTAGGTAGATTGTATGTTTCAATAATCTCACATTTTTTCTTCTCAATGACATTATATTATAGTGTAATGCAGCTAAACAATATTTTTCCATTAGAGGATACGTGATATCGTTAATCGTATTAGCAAGATTCACTAGATCACAATCAGTTATAAGGTTCAAATCATAACAGTATGTAATAGTAAATAGCAAATGACATGAATATTATATAATTAAGAGCAAGAATAAATTCGTAGCTGGACAATACATATATTAGACAGATATAATAAGAAAAATAAGATGTACAAGGTATAACAGATATACAGGGTGTCTGGCGCAAGAGTGTCCTTACGCAAAATGATGGTAGATTGGATCAGACTGAGAAGAAAAGTTATGTACCATTTTACAAAATTCTTAATAGTTATTGAATAATTTACTAAAACGTCTGAGCGAATGAGCGCGTGGAAAGCCGGGCTTGCCGTTGCTAGATCTGGTATGCAAAGCATCTGACATGCCTTCCGAGCCCGGCCTATCGTTCTCTACGCGCTCATTCACTCACAATCAGACGTTTCGATAAATTATTTGATAACTATTGTGAATTTTGTAAAATGTCATATGACTTTTCTTCTTATTGTTAGTCTGACCCAATCCACCACCATTTTTCGTAAGGGCACGTATCAACACAGACACCCTGTATGACTGTTAAGATATCTTTAATAACGGTGTCTTTATTTAGCTATTTTATTCGTTGTCATCCCAAGCTTTATCTTAAAACATTACAGCAATCTGCCATCTCAATAAGTAGTGTTGTGATAAGTTATTGTTTCTTTGTTGAACAAAGAACAGTAAAATAAGAGAGTGACGTACTTGCAAGCTGGAATAAATAATTATTTTTTTATATTTGCTAAGCATCAGGATTATATTGTTTCAAAGAATTTTAATTACCATTGTGAAACCTTCTAACGATGGGCTATATAAGCCACCGACATCTACACGATAACTTTTTATAGTTTTCTGAATAATAAATAATATCTGCTTCTGTGTTCTCAAAGGTGCCTCGTACCACTGTATACTGCATCTTGAATTTCAAAAATGTTATTATAGCCACGTGTAGTGACGCATTATTTGCGTTACTTACATCTTTCTGTAAACATCAGCATCGTAATCTATAAATTTTTGTCCAGCGTAATTAGTTGCAAACATATAGACAAAATGGCATATTACCATTATAATAGATTTTATTAAATCTTCTACTGTACTCGACGTCGTTATTACTTGGAAGAGCTGGCGAAAAAAGATAATTATTAATATATTTACTCTTTATACTGTTGTACACTTTATCACTTTCATTTTTATTTTTTGATAAAAACAACTGCGTTACCAGAAATAGACTCACGCTCGATGAAGTTACTCCAAGCAATATTAAAGCCAAATAAGGTACCGCAAAAGTTGATTTGACAATTTCAGAAAATCTTAAAACATGTGAAATATATTTATAACAGATTGTAAATTCTCATCTTCCCTCTTGTAATAAAATAATTTAGAACTAGAGTCCAAATGCATTGATCTTTTATTAAAAAGTTAAAAATGTATATTTAATTTATGAGAAAACAAATGTTTAATTAAAATTAGTACTTTGTATCAATTTTAATTATAATGCACACTCGTATAAATCTTTAAAGCCAGGTATAAAACGCAATTATTTTAATTGAAATAAATATTCATCGATTGCTGTAAAATATGGAACATTGCGGCAAAAACATCGCAATTGGCGACCAAGAGTACGCACGCACTAGTACATTAACAAGACAGCAAAGCTGGTGATTATTAACATACAAAACAAGTTTTAAAATCGTGTAAATGTTTATTATATTGTGCAACACTAAAAGTTACTTAAGTAACAATGTCAAAATATTATAAATATAAAGTTATCAAAAGTTAATTATCTGCATTTTCTGAATAAAAATTAGTTGAAAGACGATATACGCAGGAATATAAATAGAACATTCAATAACTTGCATTTAAAAATCACCAGTGCTCCTAACATAAAAAAAATCGACGGTTAGACTCTTACTCAGAACGCGCTAACACGTCAAGATATTAGCATTTTTATTAATCTAAGACTAATAAGAATACGACTAATTATTCTATACGCATCTATACGACTAACATGCGTATTCTTATTAGTCTTGGATTAATAAAGAGGTTAATATCTCGACTCATCAGCGCGCTAACATCGTTGTAAACACGTTCTGAATATGGGTCTTAGAAGATGCGTACTTTTACCAGCCCTTACCCTAAATACATATAGGTAACAAAAAATTTTATCAACATATGTTAACAAAATGCAAAACTTATATCAATATGTGACTTCAGAGTGTATATTATGATACTGACTGAATTGCCCTCCTGTGACTATTTACAGCAGTTATTATATTGTCGTGAAAGGGGCAATGCTTTCCCATGAAAGTATTCGATTCACTTTTATCGATTATACGCTCCATACGATAACTATAGAAACAAAAACGTAAACTAAAAGCAATGCCGTGCATCTGTACGGCTGAAAGGATATGCAATGTTTACCTAGTTATTTTAAACATGCCAAATGCGTGTATGGCAAGTGATAAACAAAATGATTCGGTAGACAGGATTGTCATTGCGGCAAAGAAAAGTCCTACGTCTAAGTGAAATTGAATTGTGTGATAATATTTCTCTGGATCGAGAAAATATTCAACTTCAAATAACAACTCGACATGCCGAGATTCATTTAATGGCACTATGATGTCAAGGAAACTTGGCACATACTGAATGCACATAACCACGATTAAAGATACGTAAATCAATGCTGAAATTATTGAACAATGAAAAGTAAATTTTTAGTACAAGACTTGACGCTATTATCGGTATTAGGATACTTTTATACATGATTATACGTATATATTCAATAAAATTATCTTTAAAATTGAAATTAAAAGATATTACTAGTAAATAATGTTATTATATATTCATTAACACGATGAATGCTGCCATTGGTCATTGGTGAGTGACGTTGACCGACGCTACCAAACTAAACAAATATCAAACTCGTAAAAAAATATTTGTAATTCTGTAAATATAATTAATATTGAAATAATAATCTACAGTTATTAAGTTACTAAACATAATAATTTTATATAATAATATTATGTTATACATATGTATGTATATACTTTCGTAAGGCGAAACAAGGGGCAAGTCATGACGTCTTGATAAGGAAAATCTGATCAGGCCATTTTAATTCTCGACGTTACATTTACGGTCAGGGCCCTATCAGGGCTGCCTGATGAGTGCCCGATCAAGTATTAAGGCATTCTTATCAAGTATTAGGCCCCTACCAGGACCCTACTAAAATTTCTGCTCGAGTGGAATAAATGCCAACGATTTATTGGTTTAGTTTGAATCTGGATCTTCAGTTTTTTAGAGCAGCACACATTTTTCTGTGCCACAATCGCCACATGGAACTATACAATAGTAAAAATTTTATTTGCCAGAAAAGCAAATTAGGTCCGGCATTCAACGTGTTAAATGTATCAAAATTTTTATTAGTATAAATATTCATTTACTTGCTATACTTGCAGTGAATAGTCGTGCCGCTTTTGCATATTGATGAATTATTTCAAGTTCGTAATTATCTCTCAAAGCGTTCCAATCATTTTGAATTTGTAGCATTAATTCTGTTATCTGTTATTGGTAATAGATGTGAGAGAGAGAGAGAGAGAGAATATAATTTCTTATTACAATGTCTTACATGTAAAGAGAAAATTTGTGTAAAATTTAAAATTTTTCTGTGCTTGGTTTTGCAATTAGCCAATCAAATCTCAATATACATATATCGCTAAAGATGTATGAGTTTCTAAAATTATCAGGTAACTAGTAAATGTTTAATTCAAATGTTATCAAATTGAGTCCAATTTGAGTTAAGTTGACAAACAATTTCGAATAATAATCAGATAATGATAAAAAATAATTTAGTTACCCATAATTATTGAATTTGAATCAATTTGACTCAAATATAATTTGACCCAAGTCGATTCCAACTTTATGAATTCTCACACACCTGTTTATCGTCATTTGTTATTATTTTTCACATTGGTTCTATGTTAGATTTTCTTTCAAGAAAAAAATGTTAGGAAGAGTATATGTATAAGTTGTATATATCAAAGCTTCTATGTTTTTAATCAGTATACATTATTGCTATTTGGAAAAGCTTACAATTCATAACTCCTTCTTTCCTTAATTGTTCTCAAAATAAATTTAAAGTTTTTTATGACATTGACATGACACAATAATTTATAAAAATTGTTAATATATAATATTTTTACTTACATTTTCTGCAACTACATAAAAAGTAATATATTTTACAGTAAATAACATGAATGGCAAAGCGGTTGCTAAAATTCTTATGATGAGATCCACATCGTTTGTCGCCATAATTATTTTTGTTAACTAAAAATTATAGACTTATTTAGATACTCTACATATAAGTATAAAAGATACTTAAATAAAACAATTAGAAATAAATACCTATGTAAATTATCATACCTGAGGAAATGTTACTGATATTAGAATAAATGATAACACAACGAACTGGATTTGCCTCAACGTAATATAACGATGCGGCCATAAGCCAATAGTTGACAGTAAAATACGATTCAGATTATAGTAACGGTCACCGTTGAAGTCCATTTCTTATAACACTAGAAATATCTCTGTTCTCCAAGTTTATGTAGTGCTTTGATCAGTTGCACATGTAATTCAATACTAATTTTAATGTTTGTCTCTTTTAATATTTCATAGTGTATTGCAAGAAAATATTTCGCACCATAAATTACGGTGTTATTTTAACATTATTTATAATAGCCAAGTAAGAAAGAAAATAACTCTAATTTCTTTCAACGGTAAGCCTGAGTTCTGCTGTGCATAGATCAATGGTAAATTATTAAAATGACGTCCGGCTGTTCAACCATGTGTTGTTCTCACGAGATAATATCACAAATATTTCCTTTTTTTTACATTTTGTTTTGACGCAAGCGCAATTCGTTTGTGGCATTAATCTATAAGGGCGAGAATTTAGTCTTCTTCAAACAGTCAACGAGAGTACTACAGAAAATAAGTTGCTTGATAATATTCGATATTATATACAACTAATCTAATAGAAGTATAAATAAAATCAAACGTATAATATTTCAAATTTAAAAGTAATATTTTGAAAATAGATTAAAAGAATTACGCTTGAAGAATTATTTAAAAAAAGGTAGTTTATTAAGTTATCATTATTATCATTATAACAGTTTCTGTTATAGTCCTCAAATACACTTTATTTTAATAGAATTTATTTCCTTAATCGGACTAGTATAGCTTTGTAATCTTAAATAAGATTAAAATTGTGTGCCTAAAACTTAATTTCAATAAATCGGAAAATCTTATAGAGTAAAACATTTTACGTTATTATTTCTATAACAGATTAGATATGATGCATAATTAAAAAAAATTTTTTTGCACTAAATTAAAAATATGAAACATTTAGACACTAACACCCTGTCACGACTCTTAGTCCTTTGTTCCTTTAAATTTGTGTTTATCCCCCTCCCCCTCCACACACACACACACACGCACACACATATTTGAGCTATACGAATTTTTATTAATGTATTTTTAAAACATTTTGAGATATAGTATAAACTAAGTTTAATTCCATGCATCCACAATTATATTTCCATAGCAATTTGAAATAAATATTGTATTCATCAATATATGCCCGTAACTATGATAAAAACATGTTTAATCTTCCAGACTACTCTTTTAATTAATAAATTATGAAGCATACATTATTAATATAATATTAAGTGTCTCTTTTAAATATATGTATAATTCTTAATTAATCTAGAAAAGACTATTAATACAAATTTATTTAAATACTGTTGTACTATTAACATATGTATGTATTAGTTTCTTTTAAGTAGTATTGGTATGTATGTATAATAGTCTCTTTTAAAAATATGTATCTACTTAATAGTGCAATTTCAATGATTTATTATTTACATTATAACAACAGTTGCACGTAATGTGTATTTTAACAATAAACAGAAATAGTAAAATGAATAAATAAAGAAAATTAAAAAACACGTTTTAAAATCTAAATTCTGTTTATTACATATTTAAGTTTACTACTTATATTGTTAATGTACACTTTATTTGCTACTTAATACCTACCAAAACAATAATCAAATTTACCAAAATAATAATAAAATAATTTTTTATTTTAAACGTTATACGGAGGAGTGGAGAACCATAAAATAAGAAACCGACATACTCAAAGCCTAAAACAAAAATATTTGTTAAACTCATTTTTGTGATAATTAACATATTTTATGATAATTATACACAACTTACTGTTGCCAAACCTTCCAAGCAAGGACTAAACATTCCACCTGCATCTACCTTATAACATTTTGTAGTTTTTTGTATCAGAAAGAGTACCAATTTTTGTGTTTTCAATGAAGCATTGTACCATTTCGTATTGCATCTATGCATAAAATGCATTAAACAAATAATATAATACACAAATAATATCACATGATTTAAAAAATCAATGTAAAGTGTTGCAAAAAATATTATATAATAATAGTAATCGAGAAACTTACATCGCACGATAGACATCCGTATCACAATTTATAAATTCTTGCCCAGCATAATTAGCTAAAGCTAAACCCGTAATAGTTAAAATTATACATGCACTATATTTCACAACGCTCACTATTTCTTTTTCCATCATTATTATTCGAGATAGCTGTAAGTAATAAAATGTCAATTGTTTAATCTTTTCCTGACCAAATTTATGTTAAGTTGTCTAAGTTGAGTTATTGAGTTTTCTAAAATAATTTTTTTTTCAGTAAGAGTTAAATCCCCCCTTTCTCATTTAGTTTTGTAAAATTTAAAAAAATTAATTTTTTAATAACTTTTAAACATAGTGATTGAGCATAAGTGACTATTTCTTTAGTTATACATGTCCCCGCCATACGGTAACACATTTTGTTGTATAAATGAGACACTAGCATCCCAAGAAGCAACAGAGGAAGCAAAAATGTAGGATTTACATGTCTCAGTGGTCATAAAAGAGTTAAAGATAATTTGCTGCTTTTGGGAACAGATATTTTAAGAAATTAATGAAAAAATAATTAAATTTTATTTAAATAAAACTTCATAACTCAAATGCCGCATTACTCACGTTAGATAAACCCACGCCTGCTGAACACACACACCCCATAAACAAGATTAAGTACATCGGCCCAAAACTTTCTTTTAATAATTCAGAAAATCTTACGGAATAAAACATTTTTAATTATTATCTCATTATTGTACTGTAAAAAATCATTAAAAACTTCTTAAAAATATTAATTAAACTTTGTAACACAAAATAAATAAAAATCTATGCAAAAGCCATTTAAACTCGAGTTAAAAAAAATTATGTTAACCAATGTGTTCGTGTACCTAATTATGATTTTAAACATTACTTCAGATTTGTGCCAATATTACTTATATAAGTTGTAATTTTAATTATAAATAAGGTACAAACTCGATTGCTCTTCTATGGAAGTCCACTGCAGCAATTATTTTATTACAAGATATGGCATATTCTTTATTTAGACATATGTCCCTCTGTCGATTAATTCCGATTAATATATTTTTCATACGATAACTAGAAGGATTTAATTGTAAACTTAATGCACGAAACACAATATAATGTGTATTTAATAAATTAAAATTATTTTTTGCAAAATCATCTTTAGACATCTTAAATCAAGACACAAAAAATGAAAAAATTCGGTAAATATGACACTTGGAATAGTTTACTTGTAAGCAAATAAATATAACAAATAATTTATAAATAATATTCTACAAATGAGTGTTAAGAATAACCATAAAAAATACTTTATATACCTGTACCTAAACAAAATAAAGAGAATACTAATTTAAAAATGCAGTTATTAAATTTAATAATGCTATTAATAAATAAAAGAAGCAAATTACTTTGAAATTTAAAAAGAATTATTTAAAAACACTTAGTACAAAGCTGAACGTATTTACCTAGCAATGTTAAATAATCCGAAAGCATGTAATGCGTTTGCTAATGAGAAAGACTCAGTAGCTATAGCACTGGTCGCTATAAAAAATAGTCCCATAAGTACGTGTATTGTTAAGATATAAAAGTACTTCTGCTGATCGATAAAATATTCCGCTGGAAAAATAAGTTCACGCGGACGAGATTCATTTAAAGGCATTACGATATCGAGTAAGACTGAGGTACATTGTAGAAAGATGTATAAGGAAATAACGGTATAAGACAATACTGAAATGATTAAAGTATCATTAATTTAATTGCGTAATATTAACTATTTTATTTAGTAATTAACTTCTCGTTTAATACTTACCTATTATAAATATTGTAAATACTTTTCCGCGGTTTTCGTGTTTACATATTATTTCGATTTCTTGGTTATCTTTCAAAGCATCCCAGTTATTTCGAACACGATCCCGGAATTCTTTAATCTACTAATAAGTACAATACGTTTCGCTGTTCTATATTAATTTATTTCTACTTAAATAGCTTTTGGACTTACATTTTTTAAAATGGCATAAAATGAAATATATTTTGCACAAAGCATTACGAAAATGATATTATAACAAAACATATTTAGAAAAAGGTCAAGGCTGTATTCTGAGATAAGTAATTTTAACAGCTGAAAAGATCATGTTCTGTAATAACCGAAACGATATATAAAATACAAAGTATAGCATAAGAAAATTAAATATCACTAAAATATTCGATAATATCAAAAATAGGATTTATATTCATATCAGCGCAATATCACTGTAGTGAAATATTATATTCGAAGACTTACGTTATATAAAACTGTATAATAAGAATGCAAATTAAATAATTAAACAGATACCTGAGGACTTATAAACGATATGATTATTAGTAAGGACAATAGGAAACGGAAATGCCTAACTTTGAAATCATCATATGGCCAAAGGCCAATTGCTGATAGCACTACACGATTTAATTTAAAATACGAATCTTCTGGAAACTCCATTTTATACAACAGTTGAAATACTACTGTGAGCACTTGGGTAGTTTTCTTATATCAATTTTTCTGATAATTTTTCCATTTATTAGACGTTTTTGTAATGTGCGCATGCCAACAATACAATTCAGATAGAAAACAATTTAAAGTCGAGAATTCTCAAAATGATTGAATTATGTAAATAAATGGAGATAAGATAATAAGAGGAAGTAAGAAAATGCGCACCTCCAGAGGGAAACTATGTCTATTTAGATATTATAGCCTATTAACGATAACGGTGATAGATAATAACTAGTAAATTGTTATAATTCGCGTCTGCGCGTAGTACATATCACTATTTTCTATGGTATTACTCTTGTGGCAGACGAAAGCGCAACATACAATGCAGTGTTACTTTATCCGGGCTGATACATTTCTGCGTCAGATAGTAAAAGATACATTGTGATATTGCGATTAAAATATTTCGCGTTTATGAAATATTCTATGTCGAAAAATTTGTTACCGTTATTGGACCTTTAAGTTTTTTAAATATGTATTACAAAATAAAAATATCAAATTTAATATCCATCAAATGGACATTACCTACAAGTCAGATTGCAATGTAGAATATAAAGCAGTTTCTTGAAATTCCAATGTTTTAAATAATGTTATTTGTTATACTGTTCTAAAACTATTAACATAATTTATAGACTTATTTTTATGTAGGATAAACGATGAAGCAATTAAGAATAAAAAATTGTGAACATCGCTACAATTTGCAGGAATAATACTATCCCATATATTAGCTTAAGAATTATCATATTTTTCGATGTCTTTGTTACGGCCTCAATTTGTTATTCTCAAGTTCTTTAGCTTTGGTGAGTTGGGCTAGTTTTGGTAAGTTCACTTTGGTTATTGTATCAAGAATAAATTGAGCTGATCAATAGAGAGAGATGTGCCTAAACAGAGAATATGCTGAGAATAAAAGAATTGCTGCAGTGAACTTCCAAAGAAGAACGATCGAGTTTGTACCTTATCTATAATTAAAATTGCAACTTATATAATTTAGTGGCATAAACGTTTCTTTCTTTTTTGATCATATTACAAATTATAAACATCAGCACCATTTTTTTCTTGCATTTTCTTGTAAAAATGATATGGTATTAATCCATTCAATTACATTATGAACAGTTATTTCTTCAATTTATAGGCCACATTTTTTAATAATAAATTGTAAATAACAAATTTTTGAAATTTATATTATTAATATAATATTCAGTATACATATATCTAATAGTAATCGTTTAAAAATATGTACCTACTTGTAATATTGCAATTTTAACGATTTATTATTTACCTTAAGAAGACAATTGCACATAATATGTATTAGTACAATGAATAAAATGGTAAAATGTGAGTTAATTAAGATAACTGGAACACATTTTTTTTAAATTTTAATTCTGCTTCCAATTTATTTAAATCTAGTAATTGTGTTCGTAATATACATTTTATATGTTACTTAATATTTACTTTTCCGAAACACTAATAGTATTTTATTTTTAATATTAAAATGTGGAGCGAAGAACCATAAAATAAGAAACCGACATACTCACAGCCTAAAACAAAAATATTTTTTAAACTAATTCATATGATGGTTGCATATACTTACTGTAGTCAAACCTTCCAAGCAAGGACTGAACATACCACCCGCATCCACCTTATAACATTTTGTAGTCTTTTGTATCAAAAAAAGTATCAATTTTTGTGTTTTCAATGAGGCATTATACCATTTCATATTGCATCTATGTTGTTGCACATAGTAAACATATAATATAATACAAAAATAAAATGTTGTAAACAATATTTTATACATAACAACAGCAATCGAGAAACTTACATCGTACGATATACATGCGTATCAGAATTTATAAATTCTTGCCCAGCATAATTAGCTAGAGTTAAACACGTAAGACTTAAGATTATACATAAAACATATTTTATAATAAAAAATATTTCTTTTTCCATTATTAGTAACCGAGATATCTGTAAGAAGTAGAGGGTCAATTGTATTATCCTTTCATAACCGAGATGCATTTTGTTAAGTTTTTATGTTTATATAATGTTCTTTCAGAATAATTTAATACATGCTAAATCATTTAGTTTTCTAAAAATTTTATTTAATTACAACTTTTAAACACAGTGATTCATTGCAAACGAAAGTTTTTCAGATATAAACATTCATATTCCCCGCCACATAGTAGCATATATTATACATATGTGTATAAACGAGCCACTACAATCTCAATAAGTAACCAAAAGAACAAAGGGTAAATAGGGATTTAATATGTTTATCCTAATAGTTATAAAAGAATTAAAAAACTTAATGTGTTCGAGAACAGATTTGCTGAGCAATTGATAAAAAGTATGATTAAAATTAGTATAAATAAAACGTCCTGACTTAATTGCCGTGTTACTCACAGTAGATAAATTCACACCTATAGAACACACACATCCCACAAACATGGCTAAATACATCCGCCCAAAACTTCCTTTTAATAATTCAGAAAATCTAACAAAATAAAACACTGTTATTTATTATTTTATTATTATACTGTAAAAAATCGTAAACTTCTTAAAAACGTTAATTAAACCTTGCATAATAAAATAAATAAAAATTTATGGATGCGCAAAATTGCATTAAGTCTTCAGTTTAAAGTAAAAATTGTGTCGGCCAATGTATTTATAATTATGATTTTACTTCTGATATTTGCCATTATTCCTTATGTATAATATAATTTTAATAAGGTATGTACAAACTCGATCGCTCTTTTATGGAAGTCCACTGCAGCAATTATTTTATTACAAGATCTAGCATATTCTTTATTTAGGCACATGTCTGTCCGATTAATTCCGTCTAATACTTTTTTCATACGATAACTATAAAGATTAATTTTAAAATTAATGGACATAACACAGTATAATGTATTTAATAAATTAAAATTATATACAATTATAAATAATAAAAGTTGCAAGATTTTATCAAATACTAAGTGTAGCACGTTGTAAACATAAGTAATAAAACTAAATAAAACAAGAATTTAAAGAAAAATCCGAATGTAACACATACACAATAATTGATTTAATTTAAGTGAATAAATAAAACAAGTAATTTATAAATAATGTCCTACAAATAAATATAAACGATAACTATAAAAGAGTACCTATTGTATGAGTAAAAAGGAGATAAAATATTAATTACAAAATATAGCTATCAAGTTTAATAAAATTTAACGAATGAAAAACAATTATTTTAAAAAGGAATCAGGTATGAGCTGAAGTGTTTACCTTGCAATTTTAAATAATCCGAAAGCGTGTAATGCGTTCGCTAATGAGAATGATTCAGTAGCTATACCAGTGGTTCCTATAACAAGCAGTCCCAGAGATACATGTATTGTTATGACATAAAAGTATTTCTGTTGATCGATGAAATATTCCGCTGGAAAAAGAAGTTCACGCGGACCAGATTCATTTAAAGATATTGCAATATTGAGTAAGACTGATATACAGGGTGCTACGCAAGACTTTGACGTCCGGTCATGGGAAGGTAGAGGGGACTAAGACAAACAGAAAAGTATTGTACTATTTTGCGCTTGGACGAATAGTTATCGAGATACGAAATTTTAAAAATCGCCGTATTAGCCCAACCTACTGGCGAATGTAAGCGCGCGGTGAGGTGACCGGCCTAGCGGCCCCGCTCGAGGCGGTGTTCGGCGAGGAATAGAATGGCGGTGCGGGGCGAGGAGTAGGGAGGCGAGGCGCGCCGCTGCCCGTCCGCCGCTTACGCGACCGCTCGCACGTCT